CCCCCCCCCCCAAATAAGGCTTTTTTTTTTTTTTTTTTTTTTTTTTTTGGACGGGGGTTCGTTCTTCTCATGTTTTGCTCTTCGTTTGCTTATTAATCATCTTAGTATTAACCAAAAGGGGAAAAAAAAACAGTTTTGTCTTCTAGTGAAGAGGGGAAAAAAAAAAAAGAAGTGTCTATTTCCTGCTTGCTCGCACGAGTCGCACCCGTTGTCGTCCTCAAAAAATGATGACGACACAGAAACTCTCGATCTACGCCTTGGATCCCCTTCTCTTTATTTTTTTTGTTTTTTTTTTAAATCTGGATCGCCTTCTTCCATCATGTCAGTACAGGGGCGAGGTTCCCCCTAGCGAAGAGGATCGGATAAAGCTCCTGAATCTGGGCTTGTTTTCAGCAGAGATGCAGACAAACAATTCAATCTCAATTTTCTGCACCTTTGCACAAACCCGTCCAGATTCAGGCCTTCAATCCTATCCTCTTTCCTGTTGGGACCGCACCCCAGAAGAAAGGCAGAACAAGGAAAAAATTTCCTTAGCGACATGTTGCGAATTTTGCGTACACGCAACAAAAGTTTTCGTAGCATGAATCTGGACGTGTTCGTGGCTATGTGCCGAGTGAACTCTTGCTGCAGTGCAGCAGTGGTTTACGCCAACTTTACGGTGCATTGGTTGTTTTTTGCGTCCCCCACGGCCCAAAGGTGTTCGTGTCCTGGTCTCTTTTTCTTTTTTTCTTTTTCTGTGTGTGAGCGTGTGTTCCCTTTTTTCGGTACAAAAGTCACGCAGTGCCACGCACACATTCACGCAGGAGTGCGGCGAGCGGCCGTCAGTGGATTACGTGAATTTTTTTTGTCGCCAGTTAGTCCGGCGAACGCCTGTTGAAGTTATTATTTTTATTTTTTATTTTTTAACATATACACGCATGTGATTTTTTTTTTTACTCTTTTTTTGTCTTTTTTCCTGCCGATGCATGTTGTTTGACTACGCGTCGCGTCCAAGTCGGTGGTGAGTGTCCGCCCCAGAGCTTCTGATCATGTCAAGAGTGCATCGGTTCCTAATACTACCCACAAGGAGGGGACTCCTTTCTGTTTAACTCTGTGTGTGTGTGTGTGTGTGTGTGTGTGTGTGTGTGTGTGTGTGTGTGTGTGTGTGTGTGTGTGTGTGTGT